ACACACACACACACACACACACACACACACACACACACCAGAGCGAGCTCCATCACAGCATTATTTACAATATCAAAATAATAGAACCAACATAAACAGAGGAGAGAGAGGGCACTTTTCAACATTTATTGAACATATGGATGTGCCAAGAACTGTGCCCCGCCCTAAGATGAATATGATTCTGAGTTCCACGCCAAGTATTATGGTTTTTGTTGGGCTTTTGGTTTTGATAGTTTGGGTAGTGGTGGTACTTTTGAGGTTGCTTTTTTTTTTTCTTTATATTTTCAATGATCCACATAAATCCTTTTTCTCCTGCACACTATGATGCTGGAAATTTGGGAACTACAGGCATGGAAAATCTGGGATGTCAGAGGGGTTGCATGGGGTTTGAGACTTGGAAGACAGAAGGGAGGTTCAATAGCCACTGTCCTTCCTCCAGTAACAATAGTGGACACACGGGCATCCTCACAGGCGAGTGTTTGCCAAGTCCAGCTAAATCTATTGTCAGTCACCTGCTTGGGTGTTGTGGGGCACCTGGGACCACCAGTAGAATGTTCCTGCAGCCCTCTAACCCCCCTCACCAGGCAGTGACTTTGTAATTCTCACCCGAAAGGTGAGGAGAGCCCAGACACACTCATTTCATCCCTCCAGCCTTCTCAGTGGTTTATTGTAAATGCCTGATGCCTGTGTTAAATCCCTTTCTGATTAGAATGCCTAAACTAATATCTATTTCCTTCATTCCTAAGTTATTGCTGAGAGAATCCGGTGAAGAGCGGTGCTAGTCAGTAGAAATATGAGCCATGTGAATAATTTTAATTGTTCTATCACAGTAATCATATTTAAAAAGTGAAAAGAGGGGCCCAGAGTGTAGCTTAAGTAAGCACTTACTTAGCAAGGGTACAAACCTAGATTCAGTTCTCAGGACCAAAGAGCAAATAAAAATAAGTGAAATGATTTTAATCATATCCATTGAACATAACCAAAATATTATCATCTTGCCAGGTGTAGTGGCTTCATACCTTTAATCCCAGCACTCAGGAGTCAGAGGCAGGCGGATCCCTCTGAGTTCAAGTCCAGCCTGGTCTGCACAGTGAGTTACAGGACAGCTAGATCTACATAGTGAGACCCTATCTTGAAATAACCTATATATATATATATATATATATATATATATATATATATATATATAGACATATAATCATTATGATATGTGCTAAGCCTTGGAGATTATGTGTTACATGTATGTATATTCTCACTTGTATATACATATGTGTATCCTGGTATGTGTGGTGGTAATCTAATTGTACTGAAATGTGATTTTGATTGTATGTTAATAAATAAAGTTGCCCGGGGGTCAGAGCTATTAGAGCCATAGACAGAGTGTGGCGGTGGTGGCACATGCCTTTAATCCCATAGATCTCTGTGTATTCAGGGATACAGCCAGCATTGGAGACATATGCCTTTAAGACCAAGGGGGTTGTAAACCCAAACACGTGACGAGCTCAGTCGGTAGAGCATGAGACTCTTAATCTCAGGGTCGTGGGTTCGAGCCCCACGTTGGGCGCCAGATGTAGATGTATCCAACCGTCTTATTAAATAAGAAACACAGAAACAATGTAAAAGAGAAAGCTGAGAGGTCAGAGCTCAGAGCTAAAATTTCACCCTTCCGCCTGCTGTGTCCCAGCTTCCCGAAAGAGAGCTACTTCCTGTCTGTATGGTTTTTTTATAGTATTATTGTTCTGCCTTCTCATTGCTTGTAAACCCAAACACGTGACTGCCTTGTCACTGTCTGAATGTCCAGCCCCCTTGGTCTTAAAGGCATATGTCTCCAATGCTGGCTGTATCCCTGAACACACAGAGATCTATGGGATTAAAGGCGTGTGCCACCACCGCCACACTCTGTCTATGGCTCTAATAGCTCTGACCCCCGGGCAACTTTATTTATTAACATACAATCAAAATCACATTTCAGTACAATTAGATTACCACCACAGGTATGCATGCATATGTGTGTGTGTGCATGCAGATAGAGGCCAGAGGTTAATGTTGAGTGTCATCCTCCGTCACTCTCCACCTTATGTTTTGAGACACGTTCTCTCACTGAGGCAGCTATGCTGGCCTGCCACCAAGTTCCAGGAATCCCCCTGTGTTCACCTCCCCTCTTGCCCCTTAGCATGAGGATGATTTCTGAAGTGCTTGGCTTTTTATACTGGTGATGGGACTAAAACTCGGGTCTCCATGTTTACACAGCAAGCGTTTTATTAACCAAGCCATCCCCCTGAGTATATATTTCTTCTTTCTGTTCATTTATATCTTACATTTTTTATTCATTGCGTATATATGTGGAAGGGTTCACGTGGAGGTCAGAAGATATAACTTGCAAAAGTCCATCCTCTCCACCATACAGGTAACAGGGATCAAACTGAGGTCATGAGGCTTGACAACAAGCACCGAGGCATCTCACCCACCCCAAGTGTAAGCTTCATAGACACAGCAAATCTCAATTCAGACTTCCCTGGCTAGTTTGATGTCAACTGGACACAAGCCAGAATCATCAGAGAGGAGGGAGCCTCGACTGAGAAAATGCCTCCATAAGATGAAGCTATAAGCAAGCCTGTGGAGCATTTTCTCAATTGGTGATTGATGGGGGAGGACCCAGCCCATTGTGAGTGGTGCCATCCTGGGCTAGAGGTCCTGGGTTGTTGCTGGAGGACTTCTCTCCAGGTTCCCCAAGCCCTGCAGTCCCACAATCCACTTATAAAATAATCACTCAGATGCTTATATCACTTATAAACTGTATGGCCATGGCAGGCTTCTTGCTAACTGTTCTTTTATCTTAAATTAACCCATTTTTATAAATCTATACCTTGCCACGTGGCTGGTGGCTTACCAGAGTCTTTACATGCTGCTTGTCCTGGCGGTGGCTGCAGTGTCTCCCCCTCAGCCTTCCGCTTCCCAAAATTCTCCTCTCTCCTTGTCCCACCTACTTCCTGCCTGGCAACCTACTTCCTGCCTGGTCACTGGCCATCAGTGTTTTATTTATATAGAGCAATATCCACAGCACTGGGTTCTACAAGAAAGCAGGCTGAACAAGCCATGAGGAGCAAGCCAGTAAGCAGCACCCCTCCATGGCCCCTGCATCAGCTCCTGCCTCCAGGTTCCTGCCCTGTTTGAGTTCCTGTCCTGACTTCCTTCTAAGATGAACAGTGATATGGAAGTGTAAGCCAAATAAAACTTTTCCTCCCAAAGTTGCTTTTTGGTCATGGTGTTTCATCACAATAATAGTAACCCTAACTAAGACAACCCACATACCAAAAACTCCTTATTAGTACAAATAAATGCTGGTGCTCATAAATTAATAAACACACTAATAAATAGTGTAAATTTGTATGGTAAGCTATAACACAGTATAATGGCAGAGTATGGTGCTGTTACTAAGTGAACTTGGAGCTTGGTGGAGAATTTGCTTTTGCCACTGACTGCAGTTGCTTCATCTCTTCAACTGCCTAGTGGTATCTGTCAAATAAAACTCAGTACATTGAATTGAAGGCACTAACTTGTAAGCAGCCTTCTAAATGAAGAAGAATGTAAGTCTGTAAGCACTCCCAAAGCACACAGGAAATTCCATTATGTAAAGAGGAGCCGGGATCAGTGGTCCAGAGGGTGCCTAGACCGGTCTACTCTGGTGACTGGTCTAGCGAATAACTTAGCTGTCATCATAGAGCCTTTGTCTAGTGACTGATGGAGGCAGATGCAGAGATCCATGGCCAGGCACCAGCCTGAGCTCCGGGAATCCAATTGATGAGAGAGAGGAGGGATTCTGCAGGCGAGGGATGTGGAGATCATGATGGGAAGGCATGCAGAGATGACCAGCCACACTGGTGGAAGCCCATGAACTGCGGACTGGTGGCTATGGAGACCCCATGGGACTGGACTAGGCTCTCTGGATAGGCAAGACAGTTGTTTGGCTCGAACTGTTTGGGGGGCACCCAGGCAGGGGGATCGGGATCTGTCCCTGGTCTATGGGCAGGCTTCTGGAATCCGTTGCCTGTGGTGTGACACCTTGCACAGCCTTGGTGCAGTGGGAAGGGGCTTGGACCTGTCTAGGCTCAGTGTGCTGGGCTCTGCTGACTCCTCATGGGAGACCTTGATTTGGGGGATGTGGGAATGTGGATTGGTTTGGGAGAGAGGGCTGGGGGTGGGTGGGAGGAGGGGGGGTCTGTAGGTGGTATGTGGAGCAGAAATTTTCTTAATAAATAAAAATGGAAGAAAAAAAAAAAAGAGGAGCCAGGAGGATCCGAGAGGTCAGCTTTGGGCTGAGGCAAACCAGGTATATGGTAGAAAGTGGGCATTTCCTAAGGATACAGGTAGTTGTCACGATGGCAAGTGCCCTGGCCTGAGCTCCCCCACTGTGTCCACTGGGAAGGGTTGGGCTGACAAAGGAGAGACTGCAAGACGCTTGCAGAGATGCTGAGCTGGACACATAAATCTAGAATAAGAGTCTTCTCTATGGGCACCTCTAACTGCATGGGGAAGAGAAAGTCAGCTCTGGAGACGGTATCACACCAAGAAAGAATGAGAACCGGGAAACAATCCAGTTGTGCTATCAGAAGAGCAGCCGTTATCAGGATCGGGTCAAGCCAAGATATGTACATTAGACTGTGGGTGGCAAAGGCAAGTCTGCGAGCAATTGATGCCCCGGGGGTCAGGCTGGGAACCAAGTGAGTGTGGAAGCTGCTGGGGATGCCTGCCCATCGCTGGGGTGGGGTAAGGCCTGTGGCAACAGGTAGCCTCTTTTTATGGCTCTCTTGTATCACCTCAGGCCGACACAGCCATGCGCACACTCAGCACATTATCATAAGCAGAACGGCTTCTCTGGGAGTTCTCTCTACTTGCCAGGCACCACGCCAAGCACTTCCCATACCAAATCCTGATTTCATCCTCTCCGAGCCCAGTGAGGAAAGTCCTGCTAGCCCCATTTTATAGAAGAAAAACCTTACCGGAGAAAAGCAGCTTAGTAAATGGCCAGGCTTTGGTTCAAACGCAGGCCCTTGAATTCTGGAGCCTTCCACGTAATTCCTATCTGTGCCGCTCCAGGAGAAGTTTGGCAGCTTTACTTCGGCTAAAGAAGAAGAGATGTGAAAGCTGAGGGCCAACTGCTAAAGCCCAATTTTACCCAATTTACAAATAATTGTTTGAGTTGGGCCTAGGCGGGGGACAGTAGAAAGCAACAGATAGGACGCCGTCAACGGGACATCGGCACATGGTGCCCACAGCACCCTTCTTAAAGTGATCCTCTGAGCCCACGGGGAGGCCTCTTTGGGCTGGGGGGATCTCAGAAAACCGCCTTGTGAGAAAGAAAAGGACCTTCTCGGGTAGAAAAGGTACAGTTGCCATGGCGACCACAAATTCTTGGCCCAGTGGATTGAGTCTTAATTCAGAGAGGCCTGCTTTTCCAGAGGAAAAAAAAAAAAAATGAAATAAAGCAAATCAGAGTCCCTCTGAGCTGTGGCAGCCTTCCACAGAGGGGCAGTGTCTCTGGCGGCCTCGCAATCTAAACAGATTAAACCGCCGGTGCCTGGAGGCCTGTGAAAGGCGTCTGCAGATGAAGTGGGTTTTCATACCTGACAGTATCCCAGATGGAGCTTAGCGTGGCTTTACCGAAGAAGCTGCCAGAACAAATATGACAGGATCCCGTTCCAGTTGTGGGTCTCCCACGGCGGACCGCGCTTGGACCCTCACAATGCTGGCTTTTTCCAAGCCAGTCAACTGTCATTTATTGACCCAAGCTAAGCCCCTGGCTCTTGATACTGTTCTACTCAGCTGCCCACAGCCTTCACAGAGGCTGCCTTGTAATTCCTCTCATTCTGGAACAGTTGTGGCCCCGTGGGAGGAGTCCTGCCACCGCTCTGTTTCCCAGCGGCACTTACTCTACGGTCCTGGCCAGCACACATGCACGCACTCTCTAGATACCTAACAGCAAGTCATCCCGAAGTCTAGGGAAGACGACAGGCTTACATTCCTCTTGGGCTGATGCTCCTCACCCACACACTATTCCAGATGATGATAGCAATCGTCCACTATACAAATTAGATTCTGATTTTCCATGTTTTACTCCTGTCTTGGCAACAAGATGCCAACAGAAAAACTCAATGCCTAGAGTGGGGGAGTTGGGGGCCGGAATATACCCAAACCCTAAGACTTCCTGGACCTCTAGAAGGATATTAAGTAGCAGAGCTAACTAATTTGAACCCATGACAGTGGTTCCATACCCCTTTATTTTCACATTTATGTTTATTTAGCTCACACAAAAGTTATTCAAGCGGTATAGACTTCTAAATATTCAAAGAAAATGTTGATCCCTTCTGGGGTCCCCAGTGAGGTGACCTGCTTTCAGTTTTCTGCAATCAGTTGGTGTTGGACTCCCATTTTCTTGGAGAACTCTCAGCGTGACCTCAGCTGTCTCAGTAGCAGACTGACAAGAGCAGCGTCAGCTCGGCTGCCCTGCTCCACAGGTGAGGCCAACAGAACCAGCAGGGTCCGCAACAGGCAGCCCCAGTCAGTGACTCCTCTGCCCCCTCCCAGCAGGACCAGAGCAAACACCGCCAGTCTCCATCTAGAGTTCCGTGCATCTTCTCCAGGAGACTGGAGCCACCTGGCAGGCTGGTGTGGTATGTGGACCTGAGGCCTCGGCAGACACATCAGGAGATAGGTTTTCCTTTAAGGAAACAGAACCCACAAGTGCCACAAGGACAATGAACTAACTGGGTGCCTGGGGCTGTGAGTAAGGAAATGACCTCTTCATCACTATGGATAAGCTTCTGAACTCTGTGCACCATGTAAATGAATCAACTATTCAGAAGAATACTAACATTTCACCTCAAATTAATTTACAAATAAAATTTCCCCTACCACCAAAGCATTGCAGTTAAAACATATATTGTGATTAAGAGGGCCTGTGAGCTGTGTGGTAGATGAACCCACAGCTCCCCCATGGACTCCAGGGAGATAAAAGATACTGGACTGGACCAGGTCTTCTTTTTTGGGCCACCAACCAGCTCCCAAATCATGACACAGAGACTTATTATTAGGTATGAATGCTCAGCCTTAGCATAGGCTCGTTTCTTGCTAGCTCTTATAACTTAACCTGTTTCTCTTTATCTACATTTTTGTCTTGGGGCTTTTTACCTTTTTCTTTCTCTCTCTCTTTTCTTTCTTTCTGTATATATTACTTTCACTACTTCTCATGTCTGGCTGGCGGCTTCTGGACCCAAGCATGTCTCTCTTTTTCTCACTCATTACCTTCTTCTCTCTCTTGTTTTTCTCTCTCAAGCCTAGCTTTCTCCTCCTACTTATTCTCTCTGCCTGCCTGACCCACCTCTCCTGCCTACCTATTGGCCATTCAGCTTTTTATTAGACCAATCAGGTGCCTTAGGCAGGCAAGGTGAAACAAATGCAACACATCTTTGATAGCTAAACAAATGTAGCACACACAAATGTAACACATCCTTACATCATTAAACAAATGCAGCAGAAACAAATGTATCACACCTTTACACAGTTAAAGCAATATCCCACAGCATGAACAAATGTAACACATCTTTACATAGTTAAAATAATATCCCACAACACTAGATATACATTTACCTTCCACATCCAAAAGGCATGGAAGTCAGTGGACATAAAATAACCAAATCTTAATTGTCTATGTTAGTGAAGGGAAGTGCAGAGTCAGTAACCTAACATGAAAGTAAACGTAACATTTTCTAGTTTGTGTCTGGAATTCGTAGTCTCCTTTGGAATATGGATCTGTTTCCTCCCAGAAGCTTCTAGTGCTGAAGACTAAAGTAGCCCAAAGGACTAAAATATTGGGGAGCTATCCTGTTTTCTACGTGTGCCTCTTAGGATGCCTTTGGCTGCTGGAAACAAAAATCTCAAGCGAAATTGGTTGAAACAATGAGGCCATTTACTGTCTCACCAACAGACACCCCAGGTCAGGATCAACAGTGTATGTTGCTCAGTGATGCCACAGAGGTCCCCAGTCCTTCTAGCAGTTCCTCTGCTGTTGACAGCTCTGGCTGCAGGCTTGGACTCATGGGAATGCCACAGGTAGACGTCAAGCTTCACCTCCAGGTGCAACATGATGGGGAGGAACCATCTTTCATAGAACAAGAAAGCCTCTCCAGAATCCCCAGTCTGTCCGCTGGAATCGCAGCATCTCCCTCCATCCCAGGCCATGCCAGAAGCAGCCACCAGCTTGCAGAGGAATGGAGTGAACGCAGTGGGCTTGGAGACATTAGAGGAGGGAGTGCAGATCCAGCCCAGCTGAAGCTCTGCTGCCCACGCCCTAAAAGGCCCTCTCCTGCACTCACCTGAGTAGACACTCACCTATAGCAGAGTAAACTTATTGGCACTGAGAATCGATTTACGTGGAAATGACTCCCTCCCAGTCCTTCCACTCGGGCATCCTTCTGCCTAAGCATGGCAAGAAGTGAACTGTTTTAGCTTCAAACTCTTGCTACACGAGTACTTCATGTGATTAAAACTAAGTTCAAACAAGAATAAGGCTCACGTCACTAAGACAGCTGTCAGTGGAAGGAGAGTTCAGCAAGCCACTGAGAGCACATCTGTCATGAGAGGACACGGTAAGAAGAAGCCAGCCCCAGGTTCAAGGGGACTGCACCTACTAGGATGGGTATCACGTTCACTATTGTCATTTGCAGAAACCGACCTGATTCAAAACTGTTTTCGAAAGCTAATGATCTCGCGCGCGCGCGCCATGTGTGGCACACGGTGGCATTGATTCAAAGGGTCTTTGTACACTGTACAAGAAGTGCCTCACCTCTGACCTCTGTGCCTGTCCCAGGAGCTCAGAAGTGGACACTCAGGGAGTGGTCTCATTAAAGGCATACAGTCCCACAAGACAAGGAATGGATTGATGTCACTAACTTGCTGAGCTAATAACCACCTCAGCTGCACAAAGCCCCAGCTGGAGGTTAAGAAGGGAATTGCCTACAAGCATTTTACACAGAGCAGTTAAGAAATAAAACACAGTGTCAGACAGGCCACCAAAAGCAAACCTGGGAATATGTGCCTCCCCCTCCCGACCCCCATACACACCTTCTGGAAAGAAACAGAAGGTGCAGCTACTGGCTGCATTGATGTTTGAAAGAGAAATAGATAGAAACTGTGTAGACATGGACTGATCTGATTAAATCCTAGTGAAAAACTATTCATCTCAGGGTTAAGAAGGGCCAGACATTTATGACCTGCACCATCAGAAATGCAGTTTGGTCTCGAGTTCTGGAGTTGTAATACAAGAAGTGGTGGAAATACCAGATCAGGATCATCCTAGAACCAAAATTAAAAGGGGAAAAAATTCCCATTCTGCTCTGGTAGAGCCACACTGCCTCTGAGCAGTGCTTCTTCTGCTTCCACGTCACACAGATTCCCTGGGGAGCTGGTGCAGACGCAGGCTCTGACTCGAGAGGTCCGAGCAAGGCCCAAGAGCTTGCATTTCTAACAAGCTCCCAGGTGATGCTGATGTTGCCAGTCAGGGAGCCAGGTTCTACCTCACCCATGACGGAAAACAAAGTTTACTGAGTTAGCAGGTCACGTGGTTAAGATGCACAGAAATTTTAAGGCAGGAATCACCAAAAGCCAGCCAAGGGGGAATATAATCAAAATGAGATATATCCATCTTCACTGGTGACCAGGGAAATACAAATCAAAGGCATGAGGTAACATCTAAGACCCACTAGAAATGTCTATCATCAATAACTAAAAATAAGCCAACTGTGGTACTCAGAAGGATGAGGCAGGAACATCACCAGAGCCCAGGAGTTCAAAGCCAAGTTGGATGACTTGGTGAGATTCTGTTTAAGTAAACACACAAAGAAATAAATAAATGCAAAATATCTAAGGACAAGTGTTGGAAAGGATGAAGAGAAATCAGAACCCATGTACATTGCCAGTAGGAATTTGAAGTTTCATAGTACAGCATGGCAATTTCTATAAAAAAAAAAAAAAAGTACAGAATTGTGTATGATCAGCAATTTTACTTCTGGATACAAACACGAAAGAACTCAAGCAGGTTTTCAAACAGATATCTGTGCAGCAGTGTTCTGGGCAACATTATCTCACAACAACCGGAAGACAAAACCCAAATGTCCATTGGCAGATGCTGTATTCTGAGTCAGGAACATCACCCCAAACCCATGTGTTAACAACTTAGTTCCCAGACTGGCACTATTGGGAGGTGGTGGGCACTGTTAGAGGTGGGTGTAGGAAGAAGTTTTGTCCTTCAGGACATGCCCTTGAAGAAAATACTAAGACTCACTCTTTCCTGTTCCCCTCGCTGTCTTCAGAGTCTTAGCCATGAGATAAATAGCTTTGTCACACACTGTCACTGTGATCTGTGGCCTTATGGCAGGACCACAGCAACAGCTCCAAACAATTATCCACTAGAAAACCTGAAAACAGAGCCAGAAAGAGGGAAAAAAACTAAAACCCCAAACCAGCTCTTCTCTTTTAAACTGGTTGTCTCGGGCATTTGTTATAGTAGTAGAAAGTTGATCAATGCAACTGATGAATGGGTAAGCAGAATACGATCTGGACACATGATGGAGTGTTCTGTACTTAAAAAGAGAATGAAATTCTGACACACCCTATAGCATGGATGAACTTGGAAGCCATCGTGGAAACTGAAAGTAGCCAGAGACAAAGGGAAAAGTGCTTTGAGAGTCCACTTACCTGAGGGACACGTGGTCAAATTCATAGAGCTAGAAAGAATTCCAGGAGGGAGGAGGGAAGGGACGGAGACGCTCTTAACTCACAGCTGTGGAGTCTGAATTGGGAAGATGGTCATGTCAGTAGCATATAAATATGAATGTGTTTAGTTCTACTGAAGGGTGGAACTAAATCGGTTAATCAATTTTGCACACACACACACACACACACACACACACACGTACACACACATCACCGAAAGGAAGGAAGGAAAAGAAGGGGGAAGAAAGGAAAGAGAAACCCACTAGTTTCATACACAAAGGAAAGGAAAAGAATGAGCGTGGCTGGCTGGACAGGGCACAGCTGATTGGTGATGGGAACTGAACAGAAGCCTCCCCCAGACCTAACTGGGGTTCTATCTTCCCATTGGGACTTCTGGCACTGGGTGGCTCTTTAATAACTTGAAAATGCACACGGGGACAGGGGAAGAAGGATCCTAGGATCTAACTACCATGGGCTCCTCCTGCCTGTGGACAATGAAAACTTCACTCTTCTGATGTTACTGTCTTTTCAGTAAGATGCAGAGATAGATGATGTTCCCGTCAGAAAAATGCAGGGAATGTCTCCCAAAATAGTTTGCTTGGAATACTGGTATTAAGAGATATATGCCCTCTGGATAAGCAAGACAGTTGTTTAGCTTGAACTGTTTAGGGGGCCCCCAGGCAGTGGGAATGGGACCCATCCCTAGTGCATGAGCCAGCTTTTGGAACCTAGAGCCTATGGTGGGACATTTTGCATAGCCTTGGTGCAGGGAGGAAGGGCTTGGACCTGCCTCAACTGAATGTACCAGGCTTTGCTGACTCCCTGAATGTACCAGGCTTTGCTGCCTTGGAGGAGGTGGGAATGGAGATGGGTTGCAGGGGAGGGCTGAGGGTGGGAGGAGGGAGGACAGGGGAATCTGTGGTTGGCATGTAAAATGAATAGAAAAATCTCTTAATAAAAAAATAAAAGGAAAAAATAAAAATAAAGACGTGAAAAAAGAGAGAGAGAGATGCTGGGAATAAAACAGGCTTTGTGGTCAAATATTTACAAAGCACACCATCTTGTTAAAAACATTCTGAATACTCTATGGTAAAGAAATATGGGCTTTCTTTGTTTTTGGTGGTGGTGGTGGTGTTTTGGGTTTT